AGCAGGGACAGGTGAGAGCAGGTCTGGGAGAGCAGCAGGGACAGGTGAGCCGGGTCAGGGAGGTCAGTGCCCCAGGTCCAGCCTTTGCACCATCCCCCCTCCCTGCTCCTCCCCTCCCGCCCCGTGGGGAGGGACAAACCCCCATCCTGGGAGGGACAAACCCCCATCCCGGGGATTCCTGGGCTGGAATCCCCCCAGGCCGGGCTTGCTGAGGCCCAGCCCTGCTCTGCAAGGCTGGGTCTGAGAGGAGAGCCCAGGCTGGGCTTCTCGGGGGGCTTCACACCCCTCCCAGGGGGCTCAGGGAGCACCAGGGACCATTCCCAGCCCTGGGAGTGTCCAAGGGCAGGTTGGACCGGGCTTGGAGCAACCTGGGATAGTGGAAAGGGATTCCATGGATAGGGATAGCCCTGCCCATGGAAAGGGGGGATGGGATGAGTGTGTGTGAGCCTGGAGAGGAGAAGGATCCAGGGAGACCTTCCAGGGCCTGAAGGGGCTCCAGGAGAGCTGGAGAGGGACTGGAGACAAGGGCTGGAGGGACAGACACAGGGAATGGCTTCCCACTGGGAAAGGGAGGATTTTGGGAAGGAATTCCTGGCTGGGAGGGTGGGATGGATTTCCCAGAGAAGCTGTGGCTGCCCCTGGATCCCTGGAAGTGTCCAAGGCCGGGTTGGATCCCCCCGGGATGGTGGGAGGTGTCCCTGCTGTGGGACACCTTCCTGAGAACCACAGGAGTTCCCACTTCCCAGCTGGGAACAATCATTCAAAAATTGTTTTGGGGGGAAGGAAAGTTTCAGTGAATTCCAAACAGTAAAAATCAGTTTGATTTCAGGAAGATGCAGCGTTTTAAGCGAAGGCATCAGTTTAAAATTCGGGAATATCCACATGAATTTTGTTTTGCTCAGTTCAAACCGACACAGCATCTCAATGGTCATTCTTTATAAAGATAAAAATAGTTTTTGTGAAGATAAAATTATATATATTTTATATATTATAAATATATATAAAATATAAAAATAAATAATATATAAATAATATATAAATATATATATATATTATATATTATATATATAAAATTATATATATTATGTATTACATATTATATTATATAAAATATATATAATATAATAGATAAGACATATAAATTATAATATTATATATTATATATAATAAGATATATAATAACATAGAATATATATAAAATATATAATTTATAATATTATACATATTATTATATTTTTATAAAGCTAAAATATTTTTAATAAAGATAAAAAAATGACTATTCATTCTCACTTGAAAACGAACGACCTTTTTATAAAGGTTTCTTTTTTATAAAGATAAACCCCTCGACATCAAACTGAAACATTTTATTGGGCTTGAAAATCGTCCCTGATTTTACGGCTTCTGATTTTCCTGCTTTCCACCTTTTGAAAGCTGCCCGAGCCGGGGGGGGGTTGGACACCCTGGAAGATTTTAAGATCCCTCCATCCCAACCCATTCCAGGATTGCAGGGGCGTTAATCCCAATCCCTGTCCCCCTCCATTCATCCCTTCTTTGCCCTGTTTGATCCCCTTTTTGCTCTGTTTGATCCATTTTTCGCCCCGTTTGATCCCTTTTTCGCCCTTTTTGATCCCTTTTTCGCCCCATTTGATCCCCTTTTTACCCTTTTTGATCCCTTTTTTGCCCCGTTTGATCCCTTTTTTGCCCCATTTGATCCCTTTTTCGCCCTTTTTGATCCCTTTTTCGCCCCATTTGATCCCTTTTTTCGCCCTTTTTGATCCCTTTTTTCGCCCTTTTTCTTCCCCCTTTTGCCCTGTTTGATCCCTTTTTTGCCCCGTTTGATCCCTTTTTTGCTCTTTTTGATTCCCTTTTTTCCCTGTTTGATCCCCTTTTTGCCCTGTTTGATCCGTTTTTCGCCCCGTTTTACCCTTTTTTCGCACTCTGTGCCCCCCTGCCCCGGCAGAGCCCCCCCAGAACTCACCCAGTGCGCGGGGCTGAACCTCCTGGTGACCACGGCGGGGCCGAAGGAGCGGGCGGGGTTCATGGAGCAGCCGGTGAAGTAAATCTGGGGAAGCCAAAACACCACTGAGG